TCTCTCTCTCTCTCTCTCTCTCTCTCTCTCTCTCTCTCTCTCTCTCTCTTCCTCTCTTACCCTGGCGGGATTTCTCGTTCTGCATCCTTGCCTTTCCACCCTCTTTCAGGCCTGCTCTCTCGCCAACCTTTCAGCCGAGACCATCAACTTACGCGGAACGCTAGTTCATGGCCGGATCGGGACAACCTCGAGATTTTGGATAAGATACCGCGACCCTTTTAAGGGTTACGACCCCCTCTACATCCTCGTCGAGATCTGACGCTGTGTCGGTTCCGAGGATTTCTTTCGCGTCCATTAATACGGGGTCATGCGGGTGGTGAGATATAGGTACGATCTTTTCGACGAAATTATAGCTCTTGATCGGGGCTGGTCTCTCGTCCGTGGACCATTCGTTCCTGGATCGGGTTTAAATCGAATCGAGGAATCGACCGGGATTATCGAGGGTACCCTTTGAGAGAAATTCGTGAGAAGATGGGGGATTTTTGGAGTTTATTTGGAGAAAAAGCGAATGACTCGAGGGTGAATATTGAAGTATTGAAGATTTTTCGAAATGATGGCTTTTTATACGGGTGACATGGATGATAATCCACTATTGAAAATTTTCCTTCTTCTGGTTCAAATTATAATTAAAAATAAAAACAAGCTCGATAGCGAACAGAGAAACAGCAAACCACAACCTCACGTTATAAATAAAGTATGCAGGAGAAATTCTATCAATAAACTACCGATTATAAAAGAATACAAGACTCAAGAAAATTCAACGACTATACAACGTTATCCAAAGATCCCCTATACTTCTCAAGGGACCCTTCTAATTGAAACACTTCGTCATAAATTGAAATTCGTTCCCAGGCTGATTGGTGAAAGTGATTTTCTTTTTGTTTAGGGAAAGCCTTCGAAACGAAAAACAGAGTTCTCGCATCCGTTCTCGGTGCGCGAGGAACATCCGCGCTTGTGTTAGGTAATTATCGCGACCGCAGAGCTCGCGGGGCGCGCACTTTTTCCTTGTAAACACTCCGCAGATACATTACACCTATTTTGTTTCCTCTCCGCCTTCAATTTTCATTATGACCTTTTCAAACCGCAGACCTCCGCTCACCGACGAGCGGACGGACGCCAGGTTCGCCTCGCTATCGAGATTTTTTTAATTAAGGCTTCGGCCTCGTCTCATTTGGAGCCCGTCCGTTTTTATTCCGGCTTTCATGGGAGAACTCGTAAAAGTTGATTCCACCTGAAGACGGTATCAACATCTTGTAGTTATAGTCGCGCGAAACTCGAGCGGATTTAATCCTGGAAGGGTAGGTATCGCTGAGCGTCTTCCATCTCGCCTTACATCCTCGCTGCGGCACTTAACAACTTTTTTTTTTTGCCTTTTCCCGTGTCCTTACCGACCGTTCGAGCACGGAGACAATTAAATCGCGAGCAACGGTTTGGGGAACGAATTCGAGTAGAATCGATCCGCCGCGAAGGGGTTGCGCAGGCTTGACGATTTATAAAAATCGCGTATCTTCAACGAGAGCTTGCACTTTGAAAAATAGCACACGGAGAGGCTGCACCCGAAACATTTGTCGTGGCAAGAAAAATAAGGGCGACGAATGAGTCCCAGTGTGGAACTTCGAACTCTCGAAACTTGTAAAAAAAAAAAAATCCCTTTAAGAAGAACGCTATGTGTCCTGGACAAGGTGGAAATTTGTTTCAATACCTGACCCTTCGACTCCACTTGTATACTTATTATATACTTATTACTCTATTTACTAGGAAACTCGTACGTACGTCTGAGGTCAACATTCTTACCTGTCCTCCTGGTATATCTGTAACCGGTGAACGGACCGTATCGATTCGGCTAAATAATTCAGTCCTCGTCGCCAAAACCGTGCCACTGCGAATCTACGAAATCCGCCATTCAGGTGCCTTCGTTTTACGCGAGTGAAAAATACGAAAGTTTTATTCTCTGAAAAAACCACTGACAATTCTGCGACGCATCTAATATTGATCCTACGTTAAACCTTATTCGGAGGAATCGCTCGAACATTTGTTCCTTTCGATATTTATTTATACCACAGGAAAGGCTAACTTTTCTGTTCGCTATTTTTACGCTTCATCTACGATTCATTCCGCGAATCCTAACCAGAATAGACAAAAGATGTTCTCGGCTTAAAACGCCGTGAAAAGAAAAATATGTTTCAGGAAATTCTGTCCCGTTGAATGGAAGACGAATCGAGCCGAGCTTCGATTATTTTCACAGCGAAACAGCGAAATTGAGCGCAGTTTTAGAGGGTTTAATTGATACGCGATGAACTCGTGTGTCGCGGCGCGCAGTGGCCTCGTGAAACCCGGTAACGAAGCCGTGTTTAACGTTATTACCTTTACCCAAGCTGGGTTATTAACGCCGCATATCGCGTGGTTTCGAATAATATTGGAACAAAGCACGGGGCAATTCATTCCGTCGGAACAGTCATAAATCCGTCTCTAAAACGAAGCCAATTGAAATTTCACAACAAAAGGGGGATACTTCACAAATTGATAGAAACTCGCGAGGGGCTAACAAGAGGGAAAATTATCCGTCTCGGAGATATTCAGTTGCGCAGTTTGTAATCCGATCTTTATGGGATTACGCATATTATACGTAATGCGGCGCACAATGCTGGTCCGATATCTGTTGTCATTGAGCTCATTATTAGGGCTCGTTAATGATAATAGTCAACGATACGTGGCATTCACGATATCAAATTAAGAGGAATGGAATTTACAGGCTACGTGTAATCATGTGAAGCATTCTTGCGGTGGGATATAATTCTTGTTAGGCGGATACTTTTGGAGTAATTTAAATTTTACAAGAACGATAGCTTCCTTGATAACTATTGTGCACATATATTTCAAACTAAATCTCGACTCTGCATAAATCAATTTAATAATCTAATTCAATTCAAAACGACATTCTTCTATTTTTTACCTCCGATGCATGAATTTTAATCCATCGAACGAGCAAAGAAACCAAGTTAGTCAGTTCATACAAGTTGAAGTAAGATTTCCCTAGTTAAAGTCCCTTATCTATTTTAAAACAAAACGTTACTAATTCTCTTACCATCAAAGAATACCACCTATAAATATATATAATATATAGCTATGAATAAGATTTCGCCTCCAATGTAATAAAAAAAAAGTCAATTTTCGTTGATATCCATAAAAACGGTCCAAAACCTCCGCAGCGAATATTTTCTAAAGCTTTATCTTTCCCGTCGTCGATTTCCAACAACCATAAAGTACTCGCTGGCGACTATACAAGCATCCCGCGCATATTTCAGCCGACTTCTGTCGTGCAACGACATTCGTTCCTCGAAACTCGACACCGAGAACCGCGGGAACAAATTTCCTCCTTCGTCATCAGCACGCCAACTGCGAACTGAGTTTCCTTTTTTCTGGCCCGGTGAACCCGACCCTGGCCAGCACGTTAGCTAGAGCCAAGCATTCTAGCGAGCCGTCGTTTCTGTGTTGCAGTGGTGAACCAGCGCTACGATCCGGAAGTGCAATGTCCCGGTGGTTTCCTGGGCAACAACGTGCTTATGCGTTGCATCGTGCCCAGCTTCGTTCGCGACCACGTCGCCATTACGTCTTGGCTTCAGGAGCCGTCCTTCAACATCTACCCGTCTACAATGGGAGGTGAGTACCTCGGTCTAACTGGGTGCCAGATGCACGGAGTGCCCTAGAAATCAGCCCTGTACATTAGTCATTAGAGTAGTTCAAAATATCAGCTTTCAAATGCGAGTTCTAGATATTGTTGAGAGCTGTTCAAATTTGTATTGGAGCTGAAAGAGTTGTGTTCAGTCCGATGTGGGAATTTTTTTAATAAAATTCGAGTTGGAAGTGTCAGATGAAAATGATATCTTACATTTTTCCTATTATACGATATTTCATCGTTCAGTAGTGATTTTATTCCCATTGCAGTCTTCGAAAAAATACGGACAAATGGAACCTCCATCTGAAGCTTCGGTCGCGAATTGTATGGAGTTTAATCTGATTTGAAGTTACTAATTCAACAGTGGACTAGAAAGAATTTCATCGATTTTTAATTTTCAATAGCTCTCCACTATTCGAAATAAAGGACTAATATTTCCGTTGAGGAAGCTGGTAGTATTTTCCCAGAAATCATTTTACCTGAATGTTTTCGTTAGTACAGAAAAATTGTTTCAGACGGAAGTCCATAAATGAGAGAAATATGAAATTCTCAAATATTATTTACTAATATGTACCTCAGCTTCAAAGTAGCATATAAATTATATTATTATATGATTTATACCAGAGTATTATAACATTAATTAGTTCTACATTCATTACGTATATTTTTATATATAATTTTCTATAACAGTGTACGTCACAAATGCGTGAATTCTTCAATCTAATTATTTAGATAGCCGCCCGCTTCAACGCGATCTACAACAAAATTGAACACTTCTCTTGCTCCCTTTGAAAGTAATTCAACAACGAGTAATTTAAAGAGGAACTTTTCGGATTCCTCGTATAACGCTTAATGACGCCTGCCGCGACGCCGCTCATAAATAAGAATGAGCGATCCTTGCCGCGCTCGCGTTTAGAGGAACCGTTTCCGTCGCTGCTCCTTGAAATTTATTTACCTGGTTCGCGCGGAGGAAAACGCGACCTGCGACTTGCCAGAGAAGATTTTCATTGAGAACGCCCGTCGCGGTGAATGCCGCAGTCGGTTTCAAGGATCGCCCGGCGATATCACGGCTTCGTGGAAATAATCGAGTGGATCCGAACGAGGTCGAGATACTTACGTCTTGCGCAGATTACGGGTGTCTCTCGGTTTCCGCAGCCTCTATTTTCCACGAGTAGAAATCACCCGTTTAGACCCCGCCACTTCGCGATAGAATACACAGGCCATTATGGGAATATTTTTACCCCGCTGATTTCCGACGGAAAGTTCAATTATTTCGTTGAATGGTGGGAAAATTAACAGGGATTCAAAGGAAGAATTATTCCGAGGAAATAATATTTTTCGATATAAAGGGGGACTTTATCGAAGGGGACTTTAGAATTAAACGATTGAGAGGTAAGGTTGTTTAAGAAAATTTAAGAAGTAAAATTATAAGGATCCCATTGGAAAATTTTGTATATTGAATAGAACAGTAGCGGTGCATGCTATTAATATGCTTCATGTATACGATGGGTAAGTTCTTTATGTAAAATGAAACTCCCTTAGAGAGTTAGCCACTATATTGATCAAATTTTAAAAATACAAGAAACATTCCAGAAATTACAGTTTTTTCAATAACCCGCTGTTCCGAGTCACGAACAACATCTGCATTCAGATCCCATAATAATCAACCTCTTCTCGAGAGTTCCTTCTCGCGATCTTTGAGAAATTCCTGCAAGGAATCGATATGAAAATGCTCGCCATCGGAGGTATCGTTAGGTCGAATGCATCGTTATAGTTAGCCGTTAGGCGCACACTCCAGACTCGTCTGTCACTGCGCGATAGGCAAAGTTTTCGCCGCGAGTTTAGTGATACCATTAACGAGGCAAACTTCATTAATTATAGGAGGGTTCGATTAAGTTACGCATCGTAGGACCTGGTTCGAATGCGCCCGCTAATAATCTCCACGGATTTGTTCGTACATACATTCGTCGAAGGTCGACGTAGCCATTATTTACCATTCAACGAGGCCTCGAACGGGCTCGAGTAACGCGAAAGATCGGCTGGATCGAAGCTGGCCGTGCGTTTGTATATTTATTATCGCAATTCGAATTGGAATTCGTAGAATGTGCTGCGAGAGGGAAAGAATCAGGCTCAATCCCCAATTCGAGTATGGATCCATTGCAGAACGGCTGCTCGACCAATTAAGCTATCCAAATTATCGACGAATCCTCTCTCTCCCGCTAGGAATGTAATACTCGAAGTGGGTCAAATGACACGGTAATTTCGTCACTTTGTCCACCTGCAGTATGGTAGCTTCGCTTTTCGATATTTTTAAACTATATATTGGTGGGTCCATTTTTAGAACCAACATAAACTCGATAACAAAAACAGTAGGAAAGTAATAAATAATACGAAAGGTTCTCTGAAATCTAAATCCCAATGCTTCGGCACGCTCACTAAAGAAACATTTTGACCATTCGTATGTACTTGTGAAGTATAGAAGAAGACTATAAATCAAAATTGTTAAATTTCCCAATAATATGCTTGGAAAGGCATGTAATGATCGTTCTCGTAAAAGTTCTGTGAAATTTGCAATACATATGCAAACGAAATACAAACCACCGCAGTGGTAGATTTAACTTTCGAAACTTGCACGGATATACTAGGAAGTCTGCCAACCATCCACACAGTCGATTAATTTCTTTCCCCCCGAGACTGATATTTGAAATTCCATCCAGCTAGGAAACCAAGACACGGAAATCTCCATTCGTTTCCTGGTACGATTGATATTCGACGTTTGATTTCAGACGGCAAGTATCACATGCTCTCCACTGGCGAACTGATGATACTGAACATAACGCGGGAGGACGCAGGACACAGTTATCGTTGCAGGACGCACCATCGTCTGACCCAGGATACGGTCGTCAGTAGCAACGTCGGGAGACTTCAATTGACTGGTGAGTGTATTTAAATCCGTCTGGGCTTGTTCCCGCGAATAAGATAACACCATTTCGGTTCAATTCGCGATGCTCGAGGTTAATTATGAATTCATAATGTAACCGAAGTGCGCTCATTCCGCCTTCCAAGGTAATTAATAGAGAAACTGCGTCTACGGAGTTTCTGACGTTCTCCTCGTTTGCCATTTGGAGTTCTGCCAAGGGAACAGTAATAACGTTGCTGTTTTTCAGTTATTATATTTTCTTTGTGCAGACTATTTGCACTTTTATCATGGAATATGAGAAGTCATGCTGTTACCTGTTCTTCGCGATTGTTTAATTATCTTGTAAAGGATCTTCTTTCGAAAGACTGGTTAGTGTAAACAATCTTTTCTTGTAATGTAAGGTAATAGAAATAACAATCTTCGTTTGTTCTGTTTTGGATTAGTTCCAAGTAATATAGGAATTTCTTAATGTTTTCGTTTAAAATACATTTTTATATTTATTTTCATTATCGAAGAGACCAACGACCAAATGAAGATCGTTTTAATAATTCGTACATATAGTTCAAAGACGTCTCGAGTAATCCAAACGAGCACTAATACTCGCCCCGATCGCTCAAGCATTAAACCCCCTAAAGAAATATTGAACTTCCCTCGGGGAGTTCTTTGCTTCTTTCCCATTCTTCGGTTTAACGCCCGTGCAATCAGCTTCTACGCCAATCAGGCTTCGGATCTCCTTTATATTCTGCATTTATTATAACGCCTTGAAAAAGGATAAACCTTGTCGACCCCTCGACCGAGGGCTGGAGTAGATTCTAAGCGTTGCCTTTAACCCAGTTAATAAAGTTTTAATACAGGCTCGAGAAGGATCTCGCTATAAAGCGTTGGGTGGTAATAAGAATATCGAAGAAACGAAAATCCGCGGGCGGTCGTACTCGCAACGGAAACATTTCCGTTTCCTCTTCTCTCATCGCTCTCTGCTTCGCCCTCCGACGGAAAGTTATTACACCCAGATACGATATTTACAAATTTCTCGCGAGGACCGTTGAATATTTATGAGCTACTTTCCGATAAGAGCGTCAGATGGTGCGGTCGCTGATTCGAGTCTCCCAGCATCGAACGAGGGCCTCCATCGAGGCGTCGTTCGCTTTCTGATGCCCCCTCACCGCACTCCCCCGAATGCGTGATTCCATAATTGGACAACTGCTAGACGCTCCTGGCATTTCCCCGGTACCTAGAATTTCGCTGTGGCTTCTGAGTGAGACGGATCTATCGTGGATCTAACTAAACCCTAGCGTCGAGACTCCAAGTACTCATTTGCCGATCTTTTAATTCACCTACTGCTCCGAAGTCGAGGATGCGCATACTTTCTATTCCTAAAGAATTGTCTGGGTGGTGTAAAAAAATGACCTCTTGAGTTTTTCCTAATTTTATAGCACAGTTACGTCGAATATTGGTACAAAATACAGGGTACTGTTGATTTCCCGGATTGTAATATTAAATAAACGAGGGTTGCTCGAATTATTAATTACGTAATACTACAAAAGGTTTACAGAAGAGTTCACGTACAGTATGAAGAGACCTCTCGCTCTACGAAGTGGTTTAAATCGGGCCCCGGCATCCAACCTCGGAGAATCGAGAAATCGAGTCGTTCCGACCATTCCCAAGCCACCCCTCGTGTCCATCCTTCCACCCATTGGTTCTTATTTTTCCCTCTGCTGTTTCCCGGGTCGAAGACGCTGTACCCGCGGTTATTAAATTTTTTCAATAACAAACGGTCAGCGGGAACAAAAAAATAAAGGAAACGAGCACTCCGACCGCCGCGGGATATTCGCCCGGGCTATAAAAACGTGCAATTCCGCCCGCTCGGTGGCTCGTCGCATGCCCTCTGGATACGTTCGATTTCAATTAAATGTTTGCTCTCGCCGCGGTCGAATCGGAGAACGGTCTGTCAATTATTATCGTGTTTCCGTTGGAAAAATCGACGCCGCGAGTCGCCCACGGCGAAGAAAGCTACGTCGATGTTTTGAAAACACGCGTATTGTTATTTTCCCTCCGGATGCGTATCGGTTGTTATACTCACTAACCGTTGGCGGAAAATTGACAGGCATTTATGACTCGATATCATACGTGGAAATTTTTCTCGTTTGTCCACGGATACAGTTTTCTTCGATTTTTAAACGGCGGAGACGCGAACGTACCTTGTTAAGTATCGGGTCGCTCTGGGTTAAATGGATCGGTTACGGAGAACGATGGTCGGTATTTTTATCGAATTGAGATGTAATATAGTCCATGAAGAGTTAGGGGGGGTTTCCGTCATCTTTTTTTGTGGTTTCGAGATAGATTGGAAAATGCAAGGCCTTGAAACTTCAGATACCTAGGATATTTATGAAATTTTAATTTAACGTAGTTCGTCTAGAATCAGGAGGGGTTTAAGTCGTTATTTAGTTGGTTCTGTATTTGTTAGCAAGCCACGAAGCATGGAGCAATATTTTTCCAGTATATTATGTATGAGCAAGGTGCAATAGGTGGACCTTTTAATTCGCAAATCCTGCTTCTGAAGTAACAGGCGGAATTTTAATTTTAAATTCCACTTCTTCAGCTGTGCAGGGATTTTTATAATCTAAATTGCGCAATCTGAGGTTGCGGATTGAAGTTGGTTTAAGTAGCCCGGCGCAACGAACGGGGCTTGGTACTCAAGTTAACTTGTTAACTGGCCAAGTGGAGTTAACTCATCCTTATTCATTTTTAATTTCACGTAGTGGCGTTTCGTGCTCATCGTAATTTTGATATAAGAAACAATTGGTGTCTTAATTAGTTTAACGCAGTTTTCACAATTCAAATGCTACACCATTGTTAATATTCATGTTTCCGTACGAAGAAATACTTAAGCATATAGTACTCAATCTTTTCAGAAATTATAAGTAATTACTTTAGTGAAAATCCTCACCCCCCTCACCCCACACGAGTGGACCACGTGTCCCATTCAAAACATTTACCAGCACCCCTTCTTGTATCCCGACATCGCCAAGTAAATTTCGAACGTACTTTCGGCGCGCTTTTTATTACCAGAGAAGACCACGAGATCACCGCGAGTAGTTATTTCCTCGTGTGAAATAATTTCGTTCCGATGGATCGTTAAAACATCACGTGCGTCGGTTTGCTTGTCGATAATGGCTGGTGCCTTCGATGTTTCGACGCGTATCGAAACGTTTAGGGGCTTCCACCCTCGTTTTTCGTCGACGAAAAGTGCACGCGTCATGTCGACCGATGGCAAACATCGCGGTGGATATTACGGGGTACGTGGAAATCCGCGATAAACTCACTTTTCTCGGTGTGCAACGGTCGCGCGTTATTCGATATTACGCGTTGCTTGCCGCGAATGACTGTCGATCGATCGATACCGCGAAGGTGGTGGTGGAGCATACGTGAATAGAGAAAAAGAGTGGTTCCCGTCGGTGAGGGAGGTTCAGCCCGGTTCATTAACGAACGCGGTGCAATTAAAGGCCTCATTTGAACCGTTCGGGTGCCACTTATTGCCGATAACGTGACGTTTTTTCGGTGAATTATGCTCGTTGAATAACGAGGCTGGCCTTTTAATAGGCACTAGCGCGCGTTCTACGCGGTTATTCGAGTTAAACGGTGTCCTATATCCGGGAACGCGACGGTGATTCATGGCGATTACTCAAAATGAAGTAACGCGTTTTATAATCTTTATTATCCGTGCATGAGCTGCGCGCTTGGTGATTTAAAGTTACTTGGAAATTTTAATCCCCTTGCGTGGCAAATATTATTCGACACTCGTTTATGTTTGTAGAAACAAGCCACTTTAATATCACAAACAACAATTGAATTTTAGTAAATAAAGATTGGAATATATTGACGCTATATTATTATCCGTTATTCTTTGTTATTCGAGAAAGCATCTTTAATTAAATGTAACGACAACATGTAAGTATGTTACATGATTAAAATACAAGCCTAACAAAGTCTGTGATGCTTCTCTTTTATCTAAAAAAAAAGTAAAAACACTAACGTGGCTACTTCCAAGAAAATCTGGCTAACGTTGTTCTCCAGAATTTTTCGCTTATAATTTTACTATTTTAGTACACACAGAATATACGATTACCCCGGGGGTTGAATCTGTAAGCTTACATAGTAGCAGTTTTAATTTTGCTCACCCCGCCGCTTCCACGCCTTTAATTATGTTTACGAGTGCCTTTGTAATGCTTGTAAAAATTAATCGAGTTACAGACACTGGAAAGGTGTTCGTAAATTTAATTAAGAGTACACGTAAAGGTGGTGGAAGCCGCGAGTTCCACTTTGTAATCCTCAAATTAAGGTACGTTTTACAGTGGTGGTTTTCCATAACGGGTAAACGTAAAGCAGAGTAAAATTCTTGGCTAGACAAAGATTTCGAGCAAGAAATGAAATCAAAGCTGCGATTGAAATTACAAATAAAAGGAGCCAGTGGAAAGTTTCTCAATACCTTGAAATTATCCAAGTTTCCTTTACACGCGTGTGGGTGCAACGCGTTGAACAGTTTGTATCTTTGCAAGCTCTTAACGTGATGAAATTGCTTACTTTCTTCGCGAAGAGAAGCAAGTCAAAAACGAAAAACAACGAAAGTTTTCTCTTTCATCTCGAAACAGAACAGCAAGACAAACTAATTACGGTAGAGTTTCCGTTGACCTAATACCGTGCATTTCATGTTAAAGAAGAGTAATACGAATTCCGGAAATTAATTAATAAAACAGGAAAATAATTTTCTTGAATTTTTCTGATGTCGTGCTCGTTTTAACACGCTTAATTGGATGTAATTGCATTCTCCACCAGCTTCATACCCTTTGAGACATTTTTTTTTTAATTTCATGGTGGCTTTTACTACTTATTAGGATTTATTATTCCTCCCTCTTTCAGAAACCATTGTCAACGGCACTTCACTACAATTTATTTTGTATTTAATAGTCTCAAGCGTAATACAAAATAAATTTTAGACAAATATTTCCGAGTAGATCA